TACTTTTTGGTGGTTTCGGAGGGTCACACACGTGTGAGACAATAAAGCACTTTGGCAGAAGATTCCTCTCTTTTTATTTTGATTCTTTTTATTCTTTTTTTTTAATCCCCCCTTGGAATATTGTGAACATATTTGTGGCCATTTAAGGTAAAGTTCCGATTTGCTGTTAGACTAACTTGTCTGTGTTTTTTATTATTTTTATTTTTATTTTTATTTTTTGCTTTCATTTTTTGATTGAAATTGTCGATCCCGATGTGTTATTTAAAAGAAAAAAAAGAAAAAAAAAAAAAAAGTGCAAGTTCCGGGCTGTATAAATCTATACATTGTGTATATATGTATATCTATACATTGCATCGACACGTGTGGGAGAGGACTCACCGCTTTATTTCCTAGCGGAAAATGAACTCCAAGGAGTTCTTTTTTTAACGCTGTCCGGCCTGGGGGGGTGGAAAAGAGGGAATAAAAGTGGAAAAAGAAGGGTGGGAAAGGCCGGCAGCATCCCTAAAAAACTTGTGGATAAATCCAAGCGGGCTTCTTCGCAAAGTTTGCAGCGATGGGGTAAAAAACAACAAAAAAAAAAAGCTGAGATCCGAAACAAAGCGAGATTTTAAACAACAATAATTAAAAAAGGTGAAGCTTCAATCCTCCAGCTCAAAAAAACAATAAGGGTGGGAAAAAGGGGGAAAAAAAATGGAATTATTTTGGCGTCACGTGCCTTGTACAAACGCTGTTGGCCATGTGTGCGCGCCAGCCGGGAGAATCCAACGTGGAATCCTTGGAAAAGTGCGCTGGGATCCGGGCTCGGAGCTCCATGAGGGTACGGAGAGAGGAGGAGGAGGATGAAGAGGAAGAAAAAAGGGAATTGAGCTCCTTTCGGGTGCAACTCTTCCGTCTTTAGCTTCTTTTTTCATTCTCTTTTCCTGCTTTTTTGATTTATTTTTTTCTTTTTTTTGATTTCCCTTCCTCGTTTCCCCTCCCCCCGGCGCTGCCTCCGCAAAGGCCCCGGGAGCTGGAGGCCTTCGCCCCCCTCTTCTTCTTCCTCTTCTCCTCCTCCTCCTCCTCCTCTCGGCAAATTAGGAATCGGGGCTAATTGTCCCCCGCTTCCCCCTCCTCCTCCTCCTCCCTCCCCCCTTCCCGGAACCTGCACTTCGCCGCTCGTCCTGGCTTTTTTTTGGGTGGTTTTGGTTTTTTTTTTAAATTTTTTTGGTGTTTTCTTTTCTTTTTTTTTTGTGTTTTTTTTAAATTTTTTTGTGGTTTGTTAAAAATTTTTTTTGGTGTTTTTTAAAATTTTTTTTGGTGTTTTTTTAAATTTTTTGGGGTGTTTTTTAAAGTTTTTTGGTGTTTTTTTCATTCTTTATTGGATCTTTTTTAATTTTTTGGTTTTTTTTAAGATTTTTGGTGTTTTTTTTAATTTTTGGGGGGTATCCTTTTAATGTTTTTGGGCTGGTTTTTATTTTTTTGTGTGTTATTTTATTTTTTTGAGGGGTATCTATTTTTTGGGGTTTTTTATTTTTTTGTATTTTTTATTTTTTGATGTTTCTTATATTTTTTGTGGTTTTTTAAATTTTTTGGTGTTTTAGTTTTTGTGGTTTTTTAATATTTTTCTGAGTTTTTTAATTTTTTTTGGTGGTTTTTTAAAATTTTTGGGGGGGTATTTTATTTTTTTGTGTATTTTGAATTTTTGGGGTTTTTTTTTACTTTTTTTTGGTATTTTTTAATTTTTTGTGTATTTTTTTGGTATTTTTAAAATTTTTTTGTATTTTTAATTTTTTTCTGCATTCTTTAAATTTTTTGTGTATTTTTTGGGGGGGAATTTTTTAATACTTTTTGGTATATTTTAAAATTTTTTTTGGTATATTTTTAAATTTTTTTTGGTATTTTGAATTTTTTTGATATTTTTAATTTTTTTGATATTTTAAATTTTTTTTTATTTTTAATTTTTTTGCTATTTTAAATTTTTTATTTGTATTTTCAATTTTTTTTTTTGTATATTTTTAATTTTTTTTCAATTTTAAATTTTTTATTTGTATTTTCAATTCTTTTTTTTTTTGTATATTTTTAATTTTTTTTTTGAGTATTTCCAATTTTTTCCCCTATATTTTTAATTTTTTGGTGTGTTTTCTCTTTTCCTCCTCTCTCTCCACCCTTTCTTCCCATGAAAAAAAAAAGTTGGGAGAGGAGGGTTGTAGTTTTTCCTTGGGAATCCTCATTCATTCCTGGCTGAACCTCCTGTTGCATAAATGATTCTCCACCACAGAACCTTCAATTTTTATTTCCTCCTCCAGATTTGGGTCCAAAAATTGGATTTTCTCAGGTTTGCCTCTTTGGAAATCCGATATCACTTTTATTTTTGTTATTTTTTCCTGTTCTTGTTGCTTTTTTCCTGTTTTTTTTTAATATTTTTGCTGATTTTTTTAATTAAGCGTTTTATTAAATATTGATTTTTATATTGAATATAGGTTTTATACTAAACATAGATTTTGTATTAAATACAGATTTTATATTAAATATAGGTTTTATATGTAGATTTTATATTAAATATAGGTTTTATATTAAATATAGGTTTTATATTAAGTATAGGTTTTATATTAAATATAGATTTTATATGTAGATTTTATATTAAATATAGATTTTACATTAAATATAGGTTTTATATTAAATATAGGTTTTATATTAAGTATAGGTTTTATATTAAATATAGATTTTATATGTAGATTTTATATTAAATATAGATTTTACATTAAATATAGGTTTTGTATTAAATATAGGTTTTATATTAAATATAGATTTTATATTAAATATGTTTTATATTAAATATAGATTTTATATTAAATATAGGCTTAATATTAAATATATATTTTATATTAAGTATCTATTTTATATTAAATATATATTTTATATTAAATATATATTTTATATTAAGTATATATTTTATGTTAAGTATATATTTTATATTAGTATATATTTTATATTTAGTATATATTTTATATTAAGTATATGTTTTATATTAAATATATATTTTATATTAAATACATATTTTATATTAAATATAATTTTATATTAAATATAGTTTTTCTTAAACATAGATTTTATATTAAATATAGATTTTATATTAGATATAGATTTTTATAGTAAATACAAATCTTACATTAAATATAATTTTCATATTAAATACAGATTTTATATTAAATACAGACCTTACATTCCACATAAATCTTCCTAAACATACCTTCAACATTTTTCCCCATCTTATTTTGTTTCCCCTTCTCCTTTTCAACCCTCCCAACCCCTTTTCCCTCTCCTGAAGGAAGTCGGAGTCCGACTGTTTTTCCTGCAGATCTGGGGGTTTCTGACTGTTTATTTCCGTGTTTTCAGGTTTGTGTGATTTTACTAAAAAATGCATCACCAACAGCGAATGGCTGCCTTAGGGACGGACAAAGAGCTCAGCGATTTACTGGATTTCAGCGCGGTAAGAAATGAAAAACAGCTGCAAAAAACACCCCCCCCTCCCAAAAATAATAATAATAATAATAATAATAATAAATTCAAAACATCATCTAATTGTTCTGTTAAAAACACCACCCCCCCCCAAAAAAAAAAATAAATATTCAAGTGGAAGGAGAAAATTTGAATCAGATCAATAAATATTTGTTTGGCTTCAAAACGGCAACCAAAAAAACAAAAAGAATCAACGCGAAGTGGAAATATTTGGAATATTTCCGATTGTTGGCGATGCAGGCGCGTTCTCAGCTCGGTTTCCTGTCTCCTTCCTGCCAAAAACAACGCCCCAAAAAAAAACCAACAACAAAAAAAAAAAAAACCCTGATGGTTTCTCAGCCATAATTGCACTTTTAACTAATTAATCGCTAACGAGCCGCCCATATTCTCATTTCGCTTCTTCCCTTCTTTCCTCGCTTGCTTTGGGAAGTGCCAAGAAATCCAAGAGTTTTCAACTTTTCCCCGTGCTCTCCTCCGCTTTTCCGGCGTTGAAAGCTCTCCCTGCTGGGATTTGGGAGGGATTTTTGGGGAAAAAAACGGGAATTTTGGAGTCTCCCCCCTCCTTTTTGCCGGGGCTGCGCCGGACGCGTGCACTTGTCGAGTTTTGTCAGTCTCCCCCTCCCCCTCCAACCCCTTCCTTCCCCTCCCCATCCCCCCCAAAAATGTCAGGAATATCTCTCCATCCACTCCGTTATTTATTTTAGGGAAGAGCTTTTCCTCGGGAAGAGACAAATCCGCTCCTCAAAGCCCATCCAACCCTCCCCCAGCTCCCCTCCCTTTATTTTTTTCCATCCTCGCTCCGCGCTGCTGTTTTTTCCGAGGGATGGCTCGGGGAAGTTTGGCCAGGAATCTTTGCCTGCGGCATCCTGGCGTCCCCCTCCGCTCTCCTCTCCGCGCTTTTCCCATTCGTTGCCGGGATTTTCGCAGCCTCTGACTCAGGGAAGGTGCGGAGAAGGGGGGAAAGGAAAAACAAACCCCAATTAAGCTGGGAATAAACGTTGGGAAGAGAAAGAGGAGAGCGCCAGAGAGGGGGCGAGGAGCGAGCCCGAGCTTCCAATCGCTCGCCGGGAAAAGACGGAATGAGAATTTAGGGCAGGTGGCACTCGGAATTATTATTATTATTATTATTATTATATTATTATTATTATTATTATTATAAAAAAAAAGTTCCCCCATGCCGGGAAAATCCTGGAGCGGGATGGAAACGGACGTTGCCACGTCGATGACCAAGGTTGAGACGCGTCCCAACTTCTTTTATTTTTAAATCAATTTTTTTTTTATTGGGGAGGGGGGGGAGGGGGGGGTAAAAAAAGGGATCCATCCTCATTTCCCAATCTCAGATTCTTTGGGAAACCTGGGGAAAAAAAACCGGGAACGCCGAGGGGAGGGGAGGAATCCGGACTCCTCTCGCGGGGTCGCGGGGGCTGCTGGCGGTTCCGGGGGAGAAAAACTCCGGAGCCAACGCGCCGACAACTCGGGGCTGCCGGAGGATCGGGCAAGAATTCCTGCTTTTCCATGAATAACGCCTCTTTGTCTCGTTTTCCTCGGAATTTTAGATGTTTTCACCTCCTGTGAGCAGCGGGAAAAACGGACCGACTTCCTTGGCGAGCGGGCATTTCACCGGATCGAGTACGTGCCCTTGATTCCATTTGTCCTTTTATTGATTATATAACGTTTGGCTGAGTTGTTTGCCTGTTGTTGCATCCGTGCTGAAAATGTTGGGATTTGTTTATCCCCGGCCTTTTTACCTCGGTTGTGGTGCTCGAATCTCCGAGCGGGAGCGGATTCGTCGGCGTTGCTGCGGAATCGTCGCGGAGAGCCGGTTCTTATTCCCATCTTTAGTACCGTTATTAGTATTATTAGTATTATTATTATTACTATTATTGCGGAGCACAGGTTCTTCTTCTCATTTATTATTATTATTATTATTGTTATTTATTTTTATTATTATTTGTTATTACTGTTATTGCTGAGCACAGGTTCTTCTTCTCATTCATTATTTTTATTTTTTATTTTTATTATTTTTATTGTTTTTATTATTATTATTATTATTATTGCAAGCGCCGCTTCTTATTCTCATTTATTACTATTATTATTATTATTATTTATTTAATTATTATTATTATCATCATTACTATTATTATTATTACTGCTGAGTGCCGGTTCTTATTCTCATTCATTATCATTATTACTATTATTATTATTGTTATTATTTTATTATTGTTGTTGTTATTGCTATGCGCCGCTTCTTATCCTAATTTTTTATTATTATTAATATTTTTCTTATTTTTATATTTATTTTATTTATTATTATTATTTTTTTTATTATTATTATTACTACTATCATTATTACTGCTAAGAGCCGGTTCTTATTCTCATTTTTTTACTATTATTATTATTATTATTATTATTATTATTATTATTATTATTACTATTATTATTGCTAAGAGCCGGTTCTTATTCTCATTTCTTACCATTATTATTATTATTTTATTATTTTTATTATTATTATTATTATTGTTGTTGTTGTTTGTTGATTTATTTTATTTGATTTGATTTATTTTATTTATTTGATTGATTTGATTTATTTTATTTATTGATTTGATTTATTTGATTTGATTTATTTTACTTATTTCATTTTATTTGATTTATTTTATTTATTTATTTGATTTGATTTATTTTACTTATTTTATTTGATTTATTTTACCTATTTCATTTTATTTTATTTCATTTATTTTACCTATTTCATTTCATTTTATTTGATTTATTTTACCTATTTCATTTCATTTTACTTTATTTATTTTACCTATTTCATTTTATTTTTTTTCATTTATTTTACCTATTTAATTTTATTTTATTTGATTTATTTTACCTATTTAATTTAATTTTATTTCATTTATTTTACCTATTTCATTTCATTTTACTTTATTTATTTTACCTATTTCATTTTATTTTACTTCATTTATTTTACCTATTTCACTTTATTTTACCTATTTCATTTTATTTTATTTCATTTCATTTATTTTTCTATAAAACCCCCCCGTGGATTTCTCCCCTTGTTCAATCGCCGCTTCAAACAATTCCGCTCTTACAGCAGAACTCCTCCTGTTCCTTGGGAAAATATTCCTGGAGAAACCTCGGAAAATTCATTCGCGTTCCCAAATCCAAAACTTCTCGTTGTGGCGGGAAGAAACCTCCGGCGTGGAAACGAATTCTGCGCTTTAAACAAATCCCACAAAAAAACTCGGGAATCGCCGATGGCCTCCGGAATATTCCTTGGGATTGAAAACATTCCCGTGCTTTCCTCTCTGCCTCTTAAAATCCGGGAATTCCGGGCTTTTCCGACGTCTTTCGGGGGACGTTTGAGGCTCCTCGTTTTCCCTGGCTCCGCGTCCAGCTCGGGAATGGCGGCGTTTTCCCGGCAAATTCCCACGGCAATCCCGGCGTTCCGAGCCGGGGATTCGGGCCAAGGCTTCGCCGGGAAGGCTTTGCCACCTCGGGAATTGCGGCTTCCGCTCGTTATTCCGCGTTTTATCGGGAAAATCCTTTGGGATTGCCTTCCCACAGCGGGATTTGTGCTTGGAATCGGATTTTTCCATCCCTAAATTCCCAGTTTTTCCTTCCCAGACCGGGATTTGAGCTCGGAATTGGATTTTTCCATCCCTAAATTCCCATTTTTTCCTTCCCAGAGCGGGATTTCAGCTCAGAATTGGATTTTTCCATCCCTAAATTCCCAGTTTTTCCTTCCCACAGCGGGATTTGTGCTTGGAATCGGATTTTTCCATCCCTAAATTCCCATTTTTCCCTTCCCAGACCGGGATTTGTGCTTGGAATCGGATTTTTCCTTCCCTAAATTCCCAGTTTTCCCTTCCCAGAGCGGGATTTGAGCTCGGAATTGGATTTTTCCAACTCAATCCTCTCCTAAACTTTGGATTTTCCATCCCTAAATTCCCATTTTTCCCTTCCCAGAGCAGGATTTCAGCTCGGAATTGGATTTTTCCATCCCTAAATTCCCATTTTTTCCTTCCCAGAGCGGGATTTGAGCTCAGAATTGGATTTTTCCATCCCTAAATTCCCAGTTTTTCCTTCCCAGACCGGGATTTGAGCTCGGAATCGGATTTTTCCAACTCAATCCTCTCCTAAACTTTGGATTTTCCATCCCTAAATTCCCATTTTTTCCTTCCCAGAGCAGGATTTGTGCTTGGAATTGGATTTTTCCATCCCTAAATTCCCATTTTTCCCTTCCCACAGCGGGATTTGAGCTCAGAATTGGATTTTTCCATCCCTAAATTCCCAGTTTTTCCTTCCCAGACCGGGATTTGTCCCTGGAATTGGATTTTTCCAACTCAATCCTCTCCTAAACCTTGGATTTTCCTTCCCTAAATTCCCAGTTTTTCCTTCCCAGACCAGGATTTGAGCTCGGAATTGGATTTTTCCAGCTCAATCCTCACCTAAACTTTGGATTCTCCATCCCTAAATTCCCACTTTTCCCTTCCCACAGCGGGATTTCAGCTCAGAATTGGATTTTTCCATCCCTAAATTCCCATTTTTTCCTTCCCAGACTGGGATTTGAGCTCGGAATTGGATTTTTCCATCCCTAAATTCCCAGTTTTTCCTTCCCAGAGCAGGATTTGAGCTTGGAATTGGATTTTTCCTTCCCTAAATTCCCAGTTTTTCCTTCCCAGACCAGGATTTTTGCTCGGAATTTGCTTTTTCCAACTCAATCCTCACCTAAACTTTGCTTTTCCTCCTTTTATTCCCATTAAAACTTCCCAAAAACCCAGCTGGGTTTGCTTCACCTCCCCGAAATCTCGGAGAATCACGAGAAAACTGCCGCAACCTTCGGATTCCCATCCCAATTTTTACCCTTTCCCAGCAGAATTCCCGAATTTTTTAATCCCAAAGCGGGATCCGAATCCTCTCCGCTCTTTGTTTCCGGCGGAGACAAATCAATTTGTCGCGCTCCGAACGCCGCGAAACATTCCGGAGTTCAAACCGAGCCATTCCAGCTCCGGAATCCTTCGGATCCGGGAGGGAAAAGGGGAACGAAGCGATTAAATCCCGTTTAATTAGCGGGGGATGATTTAATGAGCTGCGGGAATTTCGGGAGGAAAGGATGGACAACACCCGAACAACACCCGAAGCGCGCCGGTGACGGAATTCCCGGAGAATTCCCAGAAGCTTCGGGGGAAAAGGGGAAAACCGAGGGAATTTTTTCAGGGATTTCATCCGGGAATTTCATCCCTGGAAGTTTTAGGCTGAGCTTAAAATCTTTATAAAACCAGGTTTAGAGTTAAAATAAAATTCCAAATCTAAAGGAGAATTCCCAAATAATTCCAACCAGGGAAATAAATCGGGATGAGATCCCTGGAATTTCATCCGGGAATTTCATCCTGGAATTTCATCCCTGGAAGTTTTAGGCTGAGCTTAAAATCTTTAAAACTGGGTTTAGAGATAAAATAAAATTCCAAATCCAAAGGAGAATTCCCAAATATTCCCAAGGGGGGAAATAAATCGGGATGAGATCCCTGGAATTTCATCCGGGAATTTCATCCCTGGAAGTTTTAGGCTGAGCTTAAAATCTTTAAAACCGGATTTAGAGATAAAATAAAAATCCAAATCCAAAGGAGAATTCCCAAATAATTCCAACCAGGGAAATAAATCGGGATGAGATCCCTGGAATTTCATCCGGGAATTTCATCCTGGAATTTCATCCCTGGAATTTTTAGGCTGAGCTTAAAATC